GCAGCTGCGTCGCCGTGTAGGTCGAGCGAAGCGTCTCTCGGAGACACCAGCAAATGGGCCTCGAGCGTGTGGTCGCCCGCGATCATGATCTCCACCACGCTCTGCAGGTCCGCGACCTCCGGCTCGGACAGCTCCCCTCGCAGCTTCGGATCGTGCAGCTGCTCGCTGGCCACGTCGAGACTGGGAGGATTGATGGAGGTGGGCGAGAACAGCGTTGGCCACTTCAGATCGGCAGCACGCACGGGGGGGGGGGTTGTGTACCAAAGCTCGCGCTGCTCTCTGTCGAGAGGGGTGAAGTGGAAGCAGTAGAGGATGAGGTTGGTGAGCGCCCTTTGCGCGTACTTGCGGTTGGCGGGGTGGAGGAAGGAGTCGGGACCGGAGCCGCGCGAAGCGATCAAATTGGTTTTGATCTGCGACACGATTTCGTTGTACTTCTGCCTTTCTGAGTCGTTGAGCTTCAACTGCACCACTGCACGATGGTGGCCATTAGAACATTGTGCGCCGACACACACACACACACACACAACACACACACACGACACACACGACACACACGACACACACGACACACACGACACACACGACACACACGACACACGACACACACGACACACACGACAGTACCGGAGGTGTGACACTCGGGCAGGGCGATTTCTTTGTCGATGTCCTCTTGCTTGTTTTTGATCATCACCTGCGAGAGGATGTCGAGGAGGCGCTGCTCCGCGGCAGCGACGCCCTTGCGGATCGGCCGCACGATGTAATCGGCCCAGACCCTCCTGTCGCAGAAGGGCTCGTGCCCCAGGAACATGAGCAGGCCGAACAAGTGCTCCAGCTCCGTTTCCATAAGGAGGCCTGCACACAGACAGCATCAATCAGTACACAGACGTCAGCGGTGGTGGTGGCGTTCACAGGGGATATGAGGGTGCGAGGTGCTTGCCTGGAGTGGGTGTGCCGGTGCAGGCCCATTTTCTCTCGCACAGGAGGTTGGCGGCGAGATTGGCCTGGTTGGACTGCTTGTTGCCCATCACGTGGCCCTCGTCGATGATGAGACGCAGCCAGTACACTTGCATGAGCGGGCTCAGAGGCCGATAAGCTGATGCACAGAGGGGAGAGAAAGGTGAGCCTCGAAGAGAGGGAAAGCAGAAGAGGAGCGAAGTCGCGGGTCAGCGCACTTTGGCACGACTTGCAGGTGGCGCTCCTTACGCCGAAATCGCAGTAGCATCGCTCGGAGAACGAATTGTAGCCGTTGAGGGTGCATCTCTCCTTGCTGATCCTCGTGTGCGATGTGAGCACCACGTCGTATCTGTGTGGGAGGCGGCCCGTAAGAGCTCAAAGTGGTGAATGGCGGTGAGACGGGAGCAAAGTGGGTACTTGGAGAGCTCCTCGGGCGGAGGGAACTCCTGATTGCTCTGAATGACCAGTATGCTGAGGTAGTTGTCCAGGGTGTACTTGTGAAACTCTTGGATCCACTGGTCTATCAGCGTGGCGGGAACCACTATCAATGTCGCCGCGGAAAGAT